TTAATTCTTCTTCGGTAAAATTTTTTCTTCTCCGATTACATCTCCAAGTCGAATGGCTTGTAATTCTTCTAGAGATATATTATTTGTTTCTTAAGATATTTTTTGACTATTAATATTAATCATCATGAAGATTAGTTCTTCATCTGAATTTTCTTCATCACTAGAAATTTCCTATAAGATTTCTTCTTCATCAGAAATTTCTTCGCCATATATTCTTCAAGAACTTTGATCATTTTCTTTGCACTTTTTCCCCTTTTTGGGCATTCGGGTGCGTAGTGACCCTCTTCGTTACAAATGTAACATTTAGAAGTTTTCATTTTTGAAACACTTGTTGGTTTCTTTTTTCAAATATACTTTTTCTTTTTTGAAAAAGTTTTGTTCTTTTTCCAAGGTTTCCATTTATATTTTTTGCGTTTTTTGGAAAATCCTTTTCGCTTGGAAAATGTATTACAACCAATTTTCTAATTTTCTTTCAAAATTTTATCACAACATTTTTTACCATATTGTGAGTTAAAAATTTGATTTTTTACTTGTTTTTTCCCCTTTGTTTCTAGACACTGATCTGCTATCAGTCTTAGAACATGATTAATGCGCAAATCAAGATTATCATATTCTTCCTTCCCCATTTTTTTTGAAAAATTCAAGATATGTTTTAATACATAACTCATCCCATGGATTAAGGACTTTATGAAAAAATTGATCTAACCAAGGTTGATTTACTGGTGGATCAATAAGATAAAAATATTTTTTAAAAGTTTGAACAGTCTTCAAAAAGACAAATATTATATAATTCTAATTTTGTCAAAATATAATTTGCATTGGCTTGCGAATTAGTATCTCCTGCAAAACCACATAAATTTTCTTTTATGATTTTTGCAAACTCAACTAATATTGTATCAAGTGTGAAAAAATTTGCCAATAAAGTTGTTTTTTGGCTTTTTCCAATTTTAGGTTTTTTCCACTGCCTTAACCATTGCAACACAACTCCCTAGAGAGTTACTGCAATATAATCAAGGAATTTTTCCTTTGACCAACTATTTTTATAATTGGTAATAATGATGGACAATGATTATGCCCAATCATCAATTGCTTGTGGCTGATCCTTAAATGGAACATGAGACAAGTCTAAATAAGTACCATTTTGAGCTATTGGATACTTATGATTATTATCTTTTCTAGATATTATTGGCTTAGGTGTAGGATTAGAGATACTTCCAGTGTTAGTATCATTTTGAACTTCATTTGTTTGAATGAAGTCAAAATTTTCTCCATCTCCCTATGAGCAAAATAATTCGAGATCAATTGGTTCTTCTGTCTTTCTTTTTCCCTTATTTATTTCTGTTGAAACATCTTGATCTATTGTTTCTTCAGATGAGGATGATTGACTATCATCATCATTAGTTGATATATTAATTTCATAATTAAAGTGTTGTAAAATGGCTTTATGTTCTAGGTAAGTTTTTCTTATTTGATCTAGTAGCCTGTTTCTTTCATCAATACCTAAATCGAGGTCTTTATATAATTTTCTTTAATAATCCAATATTTCAACAATATTTTCATATTCAGTCCTATTATAGGTATTTGTTTGAAGTACCATAATATCTTCTGTACCATAAAATAGCCTAGGAATGGAGTTATCTCCTGAACTATTCATTCCATCATTATTTATGAAGGATATAGTTTCTAATTTTCACCAAATTGTTGATTTGGTTTTTTGCTTCTTTGTTTAAGTCAATATTTATTATAGAACCTATATTGTCTATTTTAGATTCCATAGACTCAACTTTGGTTTCTAGATAATTTTGATTTATTTTTTGATTTTTATCTAATTTAGAAAATCAAAAACACATAATATCGGTAATATTATTTAAACTAGAACACACATTAGTAATATGCAAACTATGGTCATATTTATTATTAACATTATTTTTGTATTTCCAAAAAAAATTATATCTTCTGGGCTAATTGCCATTATAGATTGTTGTTGGTACCTAAGACCATCCTAGTGTATTTATCTGGTGCCTAAAACCTCTCTTTATGATCTTAAAGACTTAATTATGACCAATAAGCCAAAGATCTTAATGAGTATATGGGTTTTGACAAACACTAAGCATAGAGGTTTTACAACAACTATAAATGAAATGAATAATTATGAAAATATAAAATACAAAGTATACACAATTAAAAACTAGACTGGACTAATGATATTTTTTTGGTTTAAATTTTTTTATTTTTATATCATTAAGCACATCATACATACTTATATGTATTAAAATTTACATATAGATAGAAATACTTACATAGCTTGATCTTGCTTTCAAAAGCTCTTTACCAAACCCTGATACCAATTACAAAATAACAAATACAATTCAAGGTAAACAACAAATGCAGCTCCAAGTTCAAAATATTGAAAGGGATTCTCTTTTTCTTTTTTTCGTGTGGAAGAATTGGGCTATAAATCTCATTTCTTAATTTGGTGATGGTTCCTTTAATTTAATAGTATAAAAAGACTACTAATTCATCAATAGCACTATATCAACATTCACTTTAATCCATCATCTGTTGAAGATTTTCCATCAAATATCCTCTGTCTTGCTTGAGTTGCCTGCAACATGAAAAATTCCTCCAATGAAATCCTACTAAAATGGATGAAGAAGCAAAAACACATTTAAATCGAATTCCGATCCTCTTCATCACATAATCAACAATTGTGCAAAAAGCAATTTCAGCAAATTAATTTAAACTTAAAACAACTAAATATATATATATATATATATATATATTAAAACTCATGATAATTTAAAAAATCGTGAATTTTGAATTTGGTTATATCTGCAACCTCATGTAAAATGAAGATTTCCATTTCGAACTAGTAATGAAATGGATCTTGATCCTCCAACCAATATCCTATAAAAAATGCTATGCTCAAAAGCACAAACACTTATAACAAAAAGTAATGTTAGAGAGCTTAAAAATTCTATCAAAAATTTTACCAAATGTCTCACATAAAATTTTTGCGATCTCTAAAAATGTGATAGGTATTGACACTTACTGAATACTTTTCAAGACATTTCAGACACATGTCCACATGTAGGGATGGCTATTTTCTCCCGCCCCGCTCTGCCCCTGCATCCTTACCCCACCCTACACGGATTTTCTTTATAGCGATCCCGGTATTCCCTGTTGTTATTGAACTGTAATCCGGGCTTGGTTCCGTAGATTTGTTGTTGTCTTATCCTCTTTTCTATCCCTTACTCTTTATCTTAGAGTTTTGGGTTGTGTTGGACTTGTTGGGAATAAGTTGGTTATGTTTTAGAACTTAGAATCTTTGCCCAGTTTTTGACCTCTCCGCTCGAGCGGGGGTTTCGGCGCTTGAGCGGGAAAATCACCTTCCCAATACTTCCTCTGTAGTGTTGGACGCTTGAGCGTGAGGTTTGACGCTCGAGCGGGAGTTTGTGTGTGACGCTCAAGCGGGGAGTTGGACGCTCGAGCAAGGGCCTGTTCTGCAAAACTTCTGGTTGGTTGTATCCGTCGCTCGAGCGGAGGTTTGGTTGCTCGAGCGGGATTCTATGACTGACGCTCGAGCGGGGGTTTCTACGCTCGAGCGGGTCGACCTGTATAACACACCGAGATTCAGCTTTTTGAATCACTTTTTGATTTCCTTTCTCTCTCTTACTTTTCCGAAAAAGCCATTGGAGAGCACCTCACTCTAAAACCTAACTTCTCTCTTAGGATTGATCTAGCTAGAGTGTTTTCCTCACCTTGGGTCTTTGTAAGAAGTGTGTTGATCGTCGAGGGCTTCGTTGTGATCCAAGAAATTTGGGATTTGGAGCACTTTGATTTCGGGTCATCTTCTCTATTTGAGTTCTCCATTTGAGGTAGGGATTCTCCTTGTTCTTTTTCAATACTCCGTCTATAGATAGACATGTGGTAATTTTTGTATTGCATGAAAATTGTATCATGTTGGATTTGTTTGAAAATCATGAAATAAACCTAGGGTTGGTTGTGTGGAGAATGGTTTTGGCTTCTTTGATTGTTGTCTTGGCTAATTAAAATATAAATTAGCATGTTGTAGTGAAATGAAGAAAAGCCCTAAATTATATTTTGGTTGGGTAAATTAAAATGGGGGTTTGTTGACCATTGTGTGTAAATCTCTTTTGTCAAAATGAGTGTGGTAAGGGTGTTAATGCCTAAGGGATTAACCATGGCTTTGAAATTGATCTTATGGAAGCAAGATTAGTGGAGTTGGTTTTGTGATAACAAAAAGGAAATGGAATCGTTTTTGTGAAAATGAGGGAAGTGTTTTCGAGATAATTTTGAGAATTGGATTGTTGTATCTTGAGTGTTGAACACACATGTAGAGGTTGTATCTTTAACTACCCTGTTAGTATTGTTGTTGGGTTGGTGATTCATGATATTTGAGTCTTTTAATAGATGTACTAACTATATGCGTCTAGAGGTTTTGTCCTTGGTCATCGGTGGAGGATGACACGGTTGTGTAGAATTGTCGGGTATGCATCTTACCATTGATTAATTGAACATCGTATGTGATGAAGTGCTAGACACAGTATATATATGTATATTTGCTCGGAAGGGGATAGTTATGTGTTCATATGCTTTAACACATTGCTGGTGTCTTGATAGTTTATGTATATGCATTATACATGTTGGTTATGCCTTGATGTGCTGTGATTGTTGGTGTTATGCCCGCGCTTATAATCAAAGGTACCGTTACCTTCCAGCTAGCGCCTGGAGAACTGACCGCGCTAATAATCGGAGGCACCATACCCTTCCAGCTAGCGCCTGGTAAACTGGCTTGTTGTTAATGTTGTTGAGTGGGGTGTATTGTTGGCTTACTACGCACATGCCAAAAAATAAAGAAAAATTACAACTTTCAAAACCAAGTTTGTTCGCAGAATTGGCAACACGTAGAGACCTAACAAATTTATAAAGTGATACCAAACAGACATTGTATGTTAGGCAAACTATTAAGCAGATTCTTTGGAAAAGAACATAATTAAGCATTGGATTTGCTATAACCTGAAATTGTTTACATGCAACATAAGCTTATACAATTCAAGGTAAACAACAAATGTAGCTCCAAGTTCAAAATATCGAAAGAGATTTTCTTTTTCTTTTTCTTTCCTTTTTCTTTTTGTTGAAGAATTGGGCTATAAATCTCATTTCTTAATTTGGTGACGGTTCGTTTAATTTAATGATATAAAAGACTACTAATTCATCAATAGCAGTATATCAACATTCACTTTAATCCATCATCTGTTGAAGATTTTCCATCAAATATCCTCTGTCTTGCTTGAGTTGCCTGCAACATGAAAAATGAAATCCTACTAAAATGGATGAAGAAGCAAAAACACATTCAAATCGAATTCCGATACTCTTCATCACATAATCAACAATTGTGCAAATAGCAATTTCAGCAAATTAATATTTTAAACTTAAGACAACTAAATATATATATATATTAAAACTCATGATAATTTAAAAAATCGTGAATTTTGAATTTGGTTATATCTGCAACCACGTATAAAATGAAGATTTCCATTTCGAACTAGTAATGAAATGGATCTTGATCCTCCAACCAAGATCCTATAAAAGATGCCATGCTCAAAAGTACAAACACTTCTAAAAATGTCATAGGCATTGACACTTGTTGAATACTTTTCAAGACATTTCAGACACCATTTTCTCCAACCTCGCTCTGCCCTTGCATCCCTCCCCCGCCCAATACAGATTTTCTCCGCCTCAGTGAGGAAGTGGGTAGGGGGCAAATTGTGTTTCCCCCGCCCCTGCCTCATTTATATTTACTAAATATATTTATATGTTTATTATATATATCATTTAATTTTGTTTTTGTTTATGATAAAATTAAAACTCAAAATATTACACTTTGTTTTCATTTTCACTCCTTTCACTCATTTTTTTCTCATCTTACATCTTGTGACTTTCATTATTATAATCACTATCTATAACATATTATATTATTTAAAAAAATTATTAATATTTCTATTTTTTAAGTTACAAAATTAATCTACCCTTGTTCCATTCCCACCCTACCTCCATTACCAACCCGATTTGGCCCACCCCTGGTACAATAGGGACGAGGGAGGGAAACAACAAACCCGTCCCATGGCCATCTCTATCCACACGGGGTTTATTGTTATTATTATTATTATTATTATTATTATCCCAAACACACTTGGATAGTGTACACGTGTGCATCACTTACACACGTACCAAATGCATTGCAAGTTTAAAAAAAATAACTTAAGATCTGCAGTAAAAGAAAAACAAAATAAGTTCATACTTATTAATCCCTCCTTTATACTTTAAAAATTAGTCTTATTTTGTATTTTTGTATTATGTTTAAATGAAATTTTCATATAAATGGCATAAATAAATACATAAAATTATACATATTGTGTGTCCCTCGTATGTTTTGTCCTTTTTCTTTTCTTTTTTAAATTGTCATGTCAATTTATCCTCATGTCCCGGGTCTAAGTTTTTGAGTTGTTACTGTTATGGGTTTTGAGTCCCATCCTCTCATCAAATTCACAATAGCTACTGATACATTCCATTGCTAAAAGAAAAGAGGAAAGGGAAAGAAAATTTGAAACTCTGCAAATAGAAATTAAATTTTAACACCCCAAATTTCCTATCATCATTTCCTCAATTTTCCTTTCAATGGTGTGATAGATTCAAATGGATTTTCAAGTTAGAGCAAATAAAAAGCTTCAAGAGGTAAAAGCGAGAGAAATTTGACCCCGTTTTTCCCAATTTGTACTTCTTGTTATTATAGCAAGCATGATTGTTTGAACAAAAGCACCAGCTTGTATTCCAATCCACAAGCCTTTTCCTCTTAATTGTATCCAAAAGGCCAATATGGCAGCAATAGGAATTCCACAAAGATAGAATGCCCCAAGGTTGACATATGCCCCTATATGTTGCCACCCACATCCCCTAGCAACACCTGCTTATATTTTTAAAAATAACAATTAGAAATGAACCGAGCTATTTACAAGTTTGGTTCAACTTTGCTCAATTTGTTAAGTAAATAAATGGCATGAGTCAAACTTTTAGGCTTGTTTAATAAATGATCCAAACTTGAGTTCGAATAAGTTCAGCTTGTTTATTACTCTTTACGTCCCAAATTGTTTGTTCGCAAATAAAGTTAGAACTTATAAATAATGTATTCTTGTATTGAAAGTTTTAAATTTTTTTCACTAATTGAAAGATCTCATTTAGTACTTTTAATTTGTGGAAAAAAACTGACACAAAAATATATTATTTTTAAGGTTTTTTTTTTTGTGCCGAACAAATAATTTGGAATGGAAATAGTATTTATTTAAATAATCAAGAAATCTATTATTTATATATAAAATAATGTAAAAATATATTATTTATATATTTAAATGATGTAAATAGTAGGCAAAAAAAATTTTCATTGAGCTTTGAGCTGAGCTTGAGCTCGATGTAAACAAACGCAAGCTTGGCTCAACTCATTTATACTCTTAAATATGACATGATTTCATTTTTCAAAATTTTTTGGTTTGGTTTAGGTATAATATATTTTATATATTATATTTAATTTGTGGAGGCCCAATTTAATTTGGTAACAACTAAGATTTTGATAAAACAAACCTAAAATTTAACAATATATAAATATATTGTTTAGTTCTTCCGGATCGATGTAGCAGCAGCAGCAATTCCTTTTCGGTGAGAGTGCTTGGTGTATCAATCAATTTGGTGAGATTTGCTTTGTGGAACAACAGCTAATTGATTTATGGGACAGAGTGCTTCGGCTATTCGTATACCTATATTTTGGTGAGAGAAAATCTAGATGTTATGGAATTCAACTTTGGTGGGTTTTGCTCTGGAAGCATAGTGTCTCTGATTTAGTGCTAGTTTGATTCAGTTTTTGGATCTTTTACAATTTTGTTATGAGGATTTTTATTCATCTATTTAGTGAGGTCTTTCCTCTTGTATATCTATGATTATTTGAAATTCACCTAAGGGTGGTTTGTGAGACCATTCGTGTCTCATTTGTAATCGTTTGGAAACTTTTTGGTTGATAGTGGAATCGGATTTCGATCCCGTGGACGTACCTCACATTGAGGGAACCACGTAAAAATTCTTGTGTTGCCTTTGATTTAATTTTTTCGCATTAGTTTTTATTCCCATTGATTGATTTACTTGTGGGGAATCACATATTTTCCCTAACAACTGGTATCAGAGCTTACGATTTATTTGGGTTTAATTATTTGTGTAAATCAATCGAGGGAAATGTGGGTCGTATGTCTAGCTTCAATGGAAGCAATTGGATAACTTGGAAAACTAAAATGGAGGACCTATTATTTTATAAAGATTTGTATGGACCCATTGAGGGTGATAGTGACAAACCCGAGGGTATGAAAGATGATAAATGGAATAGGCTTAATCGAAAAGCCGTTGGTGTTATCCGTCAATGGATTGCTGATAGTGTGTTTCATCATGTTGCTGCTGAAACTTCGGCACATGATTTATGAAAAAAATTAAAGTCTTTATGACAGAAAATCAGCCACAAATAAAGCCTTTCTATTTCGTAAGTTGGTTAATTTAAAATATAAAGATGGCAGCCCCATTCCAGAACATTTGAATGAAATAAAGAGTATTGTTAACCAACTTGCTTCTATGAAAATTATTTTTGATGATGAGTTGCCGGCTTTGATGCTACTTAGTTCTTTGCTCGAAAGTTGGGAGACTTTGGTTGTGACAGTTAGTAATTCAACACCTGATGGAGTTGTCACAATGGGCCAAGTCACTAGTAGCCTGTTGAATGAATAAACTAGAAGAAAATCAGTGGGTTTCTCTCATTCGGAAGCATTTGTTATGAGAGGCCGAAGTAAAACAAGAGGGAGGAGTAAGACTCCTCATGGTCGTGATCAAAGCCGTAACAAATCAAAAGATAGTTCTTTTTCAAAGAAAGAAATTGAGTGCTATTATTGCCATGAGAAAGGGCACATGAAGCGGGAATGCCGAAAGCTCAAGAATAAGGAGAAAGGCATGACAAAAGTGTGGATAAGAAGCAAGAAGACACAGCGACAGTTACTACCAATGATCTCATGGTCGTTTGTAAAGATGATTTTATCAATTTTGTGGGCCAAGAGAGCAATTGGGTGGTTGATTTCGGTGCTTCTTTTCATGTGACTTCTCAAGTTGATTTCTTCACTACCTACACCAAAAGAGATTATGGTTCTGTTCGAATGGGTAATGAAGGCTTGTCCAAGATTATCAACATGGGTGATGTTTGCTTGGGAACAAATTTGGGCTGCAAGTTGTTGCTTAAAGATGTGAGGCATGTTCCCGACATTCGCCTCAATTTGATCTCTACTGGAAAGCTAGATGATGAAGGCTTCAACAATAAATTTGGTGATGGAATATGGAAGCTCACAAAGGATTCTTTGGTGGTGGCTAAGTGTAAGAAGACTCATACACTTTATTCGATGCAAGAAAAAATTTGTAAAGGTGTTGTTAATGCACTTGAAGATGATACTTCTATCGAATTGTGGCACAAGCGGCTTGGGCACATGAGTGAAAAGGGGCTGCAAGTTTTGTTCAAGAAAGAGCTTCTACCCGGTTCGAAAGGTACACATCTTAAAGCTTGTGTTCATTGTTTGACGGGTAAACAACATAGAGTTTCTTTTTAGAAAAATGTTGCTTCTAGAAAAGAAAATATTTTAGAGTTGATTCATTCAGATGTTTGAAGTCCTTTGAAAGTTAGAACACATAGTGGTGCACTTTATTTTGTTACTTTCATTGATGATTATTCAAGGAAAGTTTGGGCTTTTCTACTAAAAACTAAAGATCAAGTTCTAGAAGTATTTAAGCATTTTCAGGCCATGGTTGAAAGAGAAACATGGCAGAAATTGAAGTGCATCCGATCAGACAATGGTGGTGAATACATTGGGCCATTTGATGAGTATTGTCGCAGCCAAAGCATTCGGTACCAAAAGACAGTTAAGAAGACTCCTTAACAAAATGGCGTTGCCGAGAGGATGAACCGCACCATTGCGGAAAGAACAAGGTGTTTGCTTTCACAAGCTAAATTGCCAAGATCCTTTTGGGTTGAGGCAATGAAGACATCGGTTGACGTGATCAATTTGTCTCCTTTCTATCCTTTGAATGGTGATGTTCCTGAAAGAGTTTGGACCAGCAAAGATGTGTCATATGAGCACTTAAGAGTGTTTGGTTGCCGAGCTTTTGTTCATATTCCAAAGGATGAGAGGTCCAAGCTTGATAGTAAGTCAAGACAATGTATTTTTCTTAGCTATGGACGTGATGAATTCAGGTATAGATTGTGGGATCCGGTTGACAAGAAAGTCATTCGAAGCCGTGATGTTGTGTTTCTTGAAGACCAAACAATTGAAGACTTTGGCAAACGTGATCAATCGGAGCCAAAAACTAATCATCTCATTGACATGGATCCATTTCCTTCATCTTCAATTGATGATGAAAATGGGGGAGATATGCAGCCACCTATTGAAGAAGTGGAGGATGATGCTAATCCTAATGAAGTTGAACCAGAAATTGAGGAAGAGCATCTCACTCAAGAACCGCCGCCACAACTTGAGTTGAGAAAATCTACAAGGGACCGACAACCTTCAAGAAAGTATCCTCCCAATGAATTTATGTTGATTTCCAATCAAGGGGAGCCTAAGAGCTACCAAGAAGCAATTGAGCATGCAAAGAAAGGCGATTGGAAAAAGGCCATGAAAGAGGAGATGAACTCCTTACTTGAAAATCACACCTATGATTTAGTGAAGTTGCCTAAGGGGAAGAAAATTCTGAAAAATAAGTGGGTTTTCAAATTGAAGAATGATGGCAAGAATCTGAGGTACAAGGCACGTCTTGTTGTGAAAGGCTTTGCGCAAAAGAAAGGTATTGACTTTGATGAGATTTTTTCGCCAGTTGTGAAGATGTCTTCTATTCGGGTTGTACTTGGCATGGCTGCAAGTATGAACCTTGAAGTTGAGCAACTTGATGTGAAGACCGCATTTCTTCATGGTGATCTTGAAGAAGAAATTTACATGAAACAACCGGAAGGTTTTGTAGAGAAAAGGAAAGAGAAATTTGTTTGCAAATTGAAGAAAAGTTTGTATGGCCTCAAGCAAGTCCTGCGGCAATGGTACAAAAAATTTGACTCTTTCATGATAAATAATAGTTTTTCTAAAACCACTTTGGACCATTGTGTGTTTGTGAAAAATTTCCCGGATGGTAAATTTATTATTCTTTTGCTTCATGTTGATGACATGTTAATTGTGGGTCAAGATTCTACCATGATAAACAGGTTGAAATTGGAGTTGAGCAAGTCTTTTGCTATGAAAGATTTGGGACCGGCAAAGCAAATTCTTGGTATGAAAATTGTTCGTGATCACAAAGAGGGGCTGATTTCGTTATCTCAAGAAAGCTACATTGAGAAAGTGCTTGAGAGGTTCAACATGGATAAAGCAAAGCCGGTTGGTTTGGTTGTCCACTTGCACTTCAAACTTAGTTCGAATCAATGTCCTACAAGTGAGAAAGACAAGGAAGAGATGCAGAAAGTTCCTTATGCTTCAGCAGTTGGTTCTTTGATGTACGCCATGGTTTGTACAAGGCCGGATATTGCTCACGCAGTTGGTGTGGTGAGTCGGTTTCTCTCTAATCCGGGTAAAGAACATTGGGCAGCGGTAAAATGGATTCTAAGGTATCTTCGAGGGACTTCGAAGGTGTGTTTGTGTTTTGGGGATGGTAAGCCGATGCTTGATGGGTTCACAGATTCTGACATGGCTGGTGATGTTGATTCTCGGAAATCTACTTCGGGGTATTTGATGAAAGTGCATCCGATCAGACAATGGTGGTGAATACATTGGGCCATTTGATGAGTATTGTCGCAGTCAAGGTATTCGACACCAAAAGACAGTTAAGAAGACTCCTCAACAAAATGGCGTT